GGTGTGTGTTGTCTGCGGCTGCCCTCATGCTAAAGTGGCAGAGCCGAGCAGTTGCACCAAAGACCCTAGGGCTTGCAAAGCTTGAAATATTTACCATTTGGCCCTTACAGAAAACGTTTCCTGATCCCAGCCTAATAAGTGAAGTGACGTACTGTGGTCATGTGACCAGTTAATGATAGATCAAGAGCTAGAGCTCAGATCTTCAGATGTCTGGCTTCTCTCTTCTTTTTTCTGAAACGCTGTTTCATTACCGGTTTTGGAAGTGTCATCATCTAATTAAATATTCTGTTAGGATACAGTAGGATTAATAAAATTGCAGTATATCTTTAATATAATATTGTCACAGATAGTATTATAGAAGGTGAGTTCAACTCTGTTAGGTACAGCTGAGTATTCAGCTCTAGAGAGCATGCCATCGAGCTTTTTAAAACAAAAATGAGAATATCATATATCTTTGACTAGTAAAGTATAAAACTATGTCCAATTTCTTATATTTGCTTTTTTTGAAAGACCAATATCAGGATTTAATATTATAAAAGTTGCATCTTTTATCTGAAGACTTTATCATTACTAAAATAACTACATTATATTTAATAATAATGAAATTGTAAATCATACTCTAGTAACTATAATTTTTAAATATTCTTCTTGTGCTTGTTAGAATGAGTGGCAGTGTGAGGCTCCTGTGATCTAGTAGTAGAGTAGGATGCTCTTTCTCTCCAGGTAGAGGTAGAGAAACATCACAAGAGCAGTATGCGTTTGAAACATTCAAAACAGTACAAACAGTATTTAGTAGAAAGTAAAAGCACTTTTACATGTAATCTTCACTGTAACAGTTATCCTTCTCTATGTTTTTAATGTATAAACATGTAATATTTGAATATTAAAAAAAGCTAAATGGACTCATACTATGCTTTTTTTCCTAAAGAATTATTTATTTAATTCCATTTGTTGTTGTTATTTTTTCAATTTGGCCAAGAAAAGAGACAGAGAGAGAGAGAGAGAGAGAGAGAGAGAGAGAGAGCAAGAGAAAGCAAGGCGCCAGGTCCAGGACTCAACCCGTGATCAGCCATATGGGCATCCAGCATCCTTAACCACCATGCCACCTGCCATCCCAGAAAGTGAGATGGCCACACCGCAGTCCCTTTTCCTCCATTCTCGTCTCGGGATCTTGGGCACACATGTACACGCATCTGGCGTGAGTTTAAGCCACTGGGTCCGGGACTCAAACTGCTGTCAGCTACATGGGAGTCCAGCAACACAGCCATTACACCAACTGCTGGTCCCCATACTATGCTTTTATTCACCCACTGAAGTATCATGACACATAACTACCCCTTAGCAAATGAAATCCTTAACTTTTTGCATTTCAGTATCAAAGGCATGCAAAGTTGGTAAATGACTATATTTTATACTATGGTGGCAAAAAAGAAGACTTCAGGCGTCTGGGGTAAGTATCATAAGTTTTACATAGAACAGGAAGGGACTGTGGATGACTTTAGAGACTCATGGCTACCGTTCTTCTGATCCTGTCACTCTGCCCTGCTTTCTGTTCCAGTTTTCTTGTTATGTTGTGAGAGTGAGGTCGTTCGCTGCTTCCAGCCAAGTGACTTGTCACAATTTCATCTCTTTGGCAGCAGGCTTCAGGTTGCCTGCGCACCTGCTGAGGCAGGGGCGACTCTGCCACAAGAGAATATGTGAGGAATGCTTGTTTGTCTTTTGGGCAATGATTTTTGAAATTTGTAGATCTTAGTGTTTGGGGTTACTTTTTTAAAGGTGGGAAAAATAAGAAACCTCACTTTATTATTTCCCACACATGGAATGCCTTCCTATATTTGACTCTGCTGTCAGAGCCTCTCAGTTGTGTGTGTGTGTTTCTCTCTGACTTAGTTTTTTAGTTGGTTGAGCCCTAAAAATTTTTGTACCATCTTGCCTACCCCTGGTTTAGCTTCCCTGTCAATTTAGCTTATAGGCCCAGCAATCATTCACCCCACCACTGAACTGTCATCCTACCAGCAAACTCTTTCTCTGCCTTACTTAGTCTTTCTAGGAAACGATAGAAAAATAAGGTCTGGAGAGTTATTCATACTTTTAAAACATCAGATCTCAGGAGAGTACTGTTATGACTTTGGGTTAGATTCTGGAACTTATTATTCTGAAAATAAGTTTTCATTTTTCCTTACTGTTTAGTGTTTATTCAGATTCCTCACCCAGACTTTGGTAACTAAGCACCATTTGTGTAGTTGAAACCAGTGCTAGAAACAATGGATCTTCCATCCATTTAACTGGTTTCTGTATGCAACACTCTTTTTAAGTGCCTTTTGACAATACCAAAATGTTTTTTTACATAGATGTACATGTATGTATACATATCCACACTCAGACACATAAAGCTATCTTCATGTATTATATTTTTTATTCGCACTTTTAACAATCCTACAGAACTCTTTTAACCTCCTGTCGTTGACCATTTTTGTTCTATTAAGTTGAAATAGTTTTGTTTTCCAGGGAAAATGACAAGACAGACTTGGATGTCATACGAGAAAATCATCGGTTCTTATGGAACGAGGAGGATGAAACAGACATGACTTGGTAATTTTGTTCCTCAGAGGCGTGATGCACCAGACACGGGTCATGTCCCTCCTCTGCTTCACTCTGTCACTTTGTCAAGGCTTAGTTGGACAGTTCTGAATCAAGGACATAAAACCATGACAAAAATGACTGAATCTGGCTTGGTTCTTGTGGAAGTTTTTGATGTCTTAATTGCTTGACTTACTTTTTAAAAATGTTACAATATTGTGTATTGTCTTGTAATATGTTATTATATACTTGTTTTTAAATATTCCTTTTTGGGAAAAGCAGTACGTGAAGATGGTTTTGGAATCCAAACATTTTACAAAGGGTAAAAAAGTGAGGAGTACATTTCCTCCTTCTGGCTGTCAGTCCTCCAGTTTCTTTCTCAGAGAGAACCACTATTTATTTATTTATGTTTAATCTTTCTCTTTTTTTTGGGGGGGGAGAGGTTTTTGCTATAGGGCGTGTGTGCTCACCAGAAAGACAGAGAGACAGAAAATGAGAAATCACTCCCCGGGGGTATGGCCACACCACAGTCCCTTCTCTCTGGATCTTGGGCACACACGCACACGTACCCAGCATGAGTTTAAGCCACTGGGTTTGGGATTTGAACCGTGGTCGACTACATGGGAGTCCATGTGTATTTTGTGTAGCCATTACGCCAACTGCTGGTTCCGTGAGAACCACTATTAATAGTTAATATCCAGATATTCTATGCATATGTAAACAATAGGCCTCTTTCAGAACATTAATATTTATATTATATGTGTTATTTATTTGATAGTACGTCCAAGGTGCAGGCTATGGTTGGATTTCTAAATGTGTAATACTTACCTTTTTTATGGATCTAGGGAGAAGAGACTTGCCAAAAAATACTATGATAAATTATTCAAGGAATACTGTATAGCAGATCTCAGTAGATACAAAGAAAATAAGGTATGCCTTCTCAATATTTATAGAAGGAAGTTCTTATTCAAGTAGAATATTAGTTTTTATTATACTGTCATGCCTCACATTATCCCCTTGGAGATGCTAATTATAGTCTAAGCTGTCCTTCATCTATGGAGCGTGATTTGGACTATTTAACTATGGAGTTTGTAAAGAACAAGGGTGCTTCTTTTTCTTTGTGAGCTCAGGCATAAGAAGTCTAAAATTAAACACAAGTGGCTCTTGGATCCGATTTCATCCTGACTCTGGTCTAGAGCCTCTAGTGATTATAATGAATGATTTAGCACTACAGAATCTCTTATTTCACAGATGATGTTTCAAAATGATAGATTTTAAAAATTGATTATCATTTATAGAGAGGCAGATGCATACCTTCTGTCACATAAGCATGTCTATTTGAGTAAAATTGACTTCAATCAGGGCTAATTAGTAATGTCTGATTTCCTTTCCCACTTTTATTTTTTTATTTTTTAGATTTTTGCCATAGGGCATATGTGCTCACTGGAGAAAGACAGAGAAAGGGGAGGTGATAAATCACCCCCCAGGGAGATGGCCATGCCACAGTCCCTTGTCCTCCATTCTCCTCTTGGGATTTTGGACATGATGCACACATGGCTGGTGTGCTTTTTAAGCCACTGCAGTGGTCAGGGACTCGAACCACACAGTGGCCAAATGGGATCAATGCCTTAATCACCATACCACCTGCTGGTCCTCTTTCCCACTTTATATCTTACTTTAATTAATGTTAAAGTTATTTTTATTCCTTGCTCAAACTTCAGATTTGTAGCTAGAAAAGTTTACCCAGGACAGACAAGGTCAGTGACAATGTGGGAGGAGGGAGTATTGCTTGAATGTGTATGATATAGAGAGCGTATATTTGTATGAACAAAGACAGCCTATTTAAAAAGCAAAATTGATGTATCATCAGGATTTCTTTTCTGCTTAGTTTGTTCTCATTAGACCCAGGATTAGTCTCATGATTCTTTTCAGTAGCGCCTTTGAGTTCTGCGTTGCTTTATAACCATGTATTTGATGTGGTCCTGAATACAGACCATATGCTGGGGCTGTCTCAGTGACTTCTCAGTTTCTTGTGAACTAGTTATGAACTCTCGTTCACTGCTCTTATCTCTGTACCGCTAATTACCGTACCAGCCCAGAAAGCACCACGGCAATTGAAGTTAACTGAAGTTACTACAGATTGAGCATCTCTAATCTGAAAATCTGCAAATTCTTTTGAATGCCGACATGATACCGCACATGGGAAATTCACACCTGACTTCATGTGGTGCATCATAGTCAAAATGCTGCCATTTAAAAATGTAGGCCATGTGTATAAGGTACACAAGAAAAGTATGAATTTCCTGTTTCATGAATGTTCAGATCGCATTCCCAAGATTTCTCACTATGTTTGTGAAAATAGTCCAAAATGAAACAGAAGTCTGAAACCTGAAACATCTTTGTCCCAGGCATTTTGGATAAGAGATACTCAACTTGTACATTGCAAACCGAATATGAGATGCTGAGTCTTCCTAGGAGCCTGTGGCAAAGTAGATTTCTAGTTCTGACTCATTTGTGAATTGTTTTTCAGTGTATTTAAGCTGGACTGGGTATGGTGGGTTAATACATGGTCACTGCCCTTTAGAAGAAGCAATGGCCCCCATGAAGGGAGAAGGTGTATTTAACTAAAAATTAAATATTTGAATTCTCCACTTTAGAAAGCATTGGGAGTGGCGGGAAGGAATCAGGGACAAAACAAACAAAACATTTCATAGAAAAATGAAAAGTTATCTGTTAACGATCATATATAAGGTAATGTCATTTACTTGACTAATATACACTGTTCATGCTGGGAAAAAACATCTTTTACACTGTAAAAAAATATACAGTGATCAAATGAAAATAAAAAATGGGAAAAAAATAAAAGCAAAAATCTTTTAATAAAAAAGCATTATTAGAAATCATAGGTGGAGAGAATAATCTTGAAACAAAGCATATTTTCCCATTAGAACATGGTGAGCAATTGGATATGAGCTTAAGTACAAGCAAAAGAACAGGTTGGTTTTTTGTTTTTGTTTTTTTAGATTTTTGCTATAGGACGTGTGCTGAAGAGAAAGAGAGAGACAGAAGGACAAAAAGAAAGAAATCACCCCCTGGGGGGGATAACCACGCTGCAATCCCTTCTCCTCCATTCCTCTCTCAGGATTTTGGATACACACACACACACACACACACACACACACACACACATGTCCCATGTGAGTTTCAAGTCACCCTGTCTGGGACTCAAATCTCAATCGAGATTTGGAAGTCTTGGGAGTGCAGTGAGGTAACAATTATGCTATCTGCTGGTCCCAAGAGAACAAGTTTTAAGTGTGGATTCTGAGGGTTATGGAGAATTGGAAGGGAGTCTGTTTGCATGGGGTAAAGATAATGACTTTATTTATTTATTTATTTTTTTGGATTTCCTCGTTTGAGGTGTTAGAGAAAGTTGGAGTCAAGCTTTTGGTTCTCTTGCTAGGGTACATTTTTTTTGTAGTTTTATTTGTATGAAGATAATGATTTATTCACTTGTGATTAACCACTAGCTCAGTGCCTAATATGTATGTAATCAGCTCTCTGCATCAGCCAGTTCTGCATCTGCAGATTCACCCAACCCGGGATGACAAGTATTACATTATTGCTAATGCGTACTGTGCAGTTAGGGCTCCAGGGATTGCATCTGCACCAAACATACTGACAATTTTCTCTTGTCATTCCCTAAACAATATGATCTAACAACTATTCATACAGCATTTACATTGTCTTAGGTATTGTAAGTAACTCAGAAATAAAGTATAGGGGAGGATGTGCCTAGGTTACATGCAAATATCGAGCTGTTTTATATCAAGAACTTGGGCATCGATTATGAGTACCTGCAGGGTGCTAGTAACTGGAACCGTCCTCCACAGATGCTGAGGGACTTACTGCGTTTTCTGTGAATTCCCACTCCATGGTTGCCTCTCTTTAATCATTGAGAATTCAGTTTGATCATTGTATTAGGTTTATTGAGTAGATTCAGAACAGAGAGCATTCCCAAAAAACATTGGCTTAAGCAGACTGGAAGTACATTTTATGTAAAAGTCCAGGGAGATGGTCCTGGAAGTTTGTGTTGTCAGGAAGTCAGAGTCTTCTCTCCTTGTGTGGACATGATAGCAAGGAGGAGGTGGCTCAGCACCAAACCTGAGGAACTCTACCTTTAATCCAGCCTACAAGCAAGACATTTTTGTATAAGAATAGACATTCTTAACTAGTAGGACAAAGTGTAGTTGTTTTGTTAATTTCTTATCTCCCTGTAAGATTACAACTTTGGTGACAGAGGTTATTTTAGTTGCCACTTTTATTTTTTTATCTCCAATAGAATGCCAAGCCCTGTAAGTAGTTGCTTAGTTATATTTGTATTAGGCTGAGTGAGTGACAAAGTTTGGAAGCTATTGCTGATCCACATTTGGCTGTGCTTCAGTAAACGTTTGTTCTGACGTGTTGGACGGCAGGCAATTGCCAATACATACATAGGCTTAGCAATAGAATTAAACACAATTATTTTGAATGTTTTACTTCCTTTTTTCCCTAGACTTGGAGGATTTTATTTTTGTTGGGCTTTATTTATTTCTTATGCTAGAAAGCACATATACGTGCATGTGAGACAGGAGTAGAGATGCAGCATCCTGGACGGGTACCTGTCATGCTGTGGTCCTCTGTCCTCAGCCCACCAGTTCCTCAGGGTCCTGGGCACCTGGACATGTGTGCTTGGCACACTGTTCCAGCTGTCCTGGGATTTGAACCACAGTTGCCATATGGCTTGCAGCACTGTAGGGTCCTAGTGTTACCACCCTCCACAGTGGCCGGGCCTTTGTTGGGTTTTAAAAGTATGCCTTGAAATATTTTGTTTGCTTTTAAAATACAAAATTGCCAAGTTCTGGTAATAACTGATAACTAATAAATTACTGTAGCTAACCAGGTATTGAGCCCTGTTTTTATTTTTGCATTATGGAGCATATTCTTGGAGTAGGTTGATGAGATCACAGGTGTGACTTTTTACTACTGAGCCCTGTGCTCCCTTGTAGTGTATGGGAAATAGCTGATCATATCTTCTGGTGAGCCAGAGGAATTATAATAACAACTACTTTTGCGTTGGTAGGACCACACAGTTGGCCATGTGGTATCCAGCAGCCTTAACTGCCACATCACTGGCTGGCCCTCTTTCCTTTTCTCCCCAAGTTTATTTGTTCCCTTCTTCTGAAACACAGAGAAAGGCAGGCAGGCAGGCAGGCAGGCAGACCCCCCGCAGTAGGGTCCAGTTGCCCTGACCCAGGCCTTGTGCACCATGTTGCGCCACCTCCTGGCCCCTGTACTGAGAGTCACTACCCTGCGTGCTTTATCTTGTGTACCTCATCTGAGCCTCTTTGCCCAAAGAAGTAGGTGTTCATAGCCCCACTTTGCCTGTGAGGAAACTGAGGCGAAACTGATTCCATAACTTTCCAAGTACTATAATAACTGTTAAGGGGTGGGGCTAAAGTGTGAATCTAAATCACCTGACTCCAAAGGCTGTACTTCTTCGCACTGTAATGTACTGTGTCTTTACTGCATCTTAACTTCTTTTGTGTTTATCAGTGTCGTAGAACAGGATATATTACTTATTAATAGAAGTTTCTTGCAGCCTGGCACCTACAATTTTTAAGATATTTTTAAAAGTAAGGAATATTGGGGCTAGCTGGTGGCATGGTGGTTAAGGTGATTGGATCCCACATGGCCGACTGTGTGGTTTGAATCCTGGATCTGATAGCTTGAGTGTGTGTGTGTGTGTGTGTGTGTGTGTGTGCGTGTACATGCCAAAAATCCAGAAAGGAAGGAGAGATGGAGGAGAAGGGATTGCTGCATGGCGGTGCCCATGGGGGTACTTTCTCTTGCACACCAGTGAGTGCACATGCCTTCTGGCAAATTAAAAAGAAAAAAAAGTAAGGAAGGTTGTTTTTAACAGATGAATTTGTGATTGTTCAAACATATTTTTAAGTATCTAGAATCCTGAGAAGAAAAAGCTGTCATGATGAAATTTAGGTTTGTTTTTACATTGGAAAATGTCATTGTTAGCTCTATGTTTAGATTTATGTGTAATTTAAATGTCATACGTAAATTTACTTTGGCATAATTTTTTCTTCTTTTTAGTTTGGATTTAGGTGGCGAATAGAAAAAGAAGTAATTTCAGGAAAAGGTAATTTTTAAAAAAATATTTTTTAATAGAATACAGTTAATGCTGTTGTGTTACTGAGTTGAAGTGATTGGTAAGATTACTCTTACATACACAATAACTTCATAAAGTAAAATTAGGGAGGGTATATTTGTGATACATTATTAGCAAAGGCCAGACTGTAGTGCTTGGGACCAGCAGTTGGTGTAATGGCTATGTTGCTGAACTCCCATGTAGCTGATCATGGTTCGAGTCCCAGACCCGGTGGCTTAAACTCATGCTGGGCACATGTGTGTGCGTGCCCAAGATCCCGAGAGGAGAATGGAGAAGGGATTGCAGCATGGCCATCCCCCCTGGGGGGTGATTTCTTGCTTTCTGTCTCTCTGTCTCTCTCTGTCTTTCTGGTGAGCGCATGCGCCGTATAGCAAAAACCTCTCCAAAAAAAAAAAAAAAAAGAAAAGAATGTAGTGCTTTAATGGTTTTTACTTTTAAAATTGTGCCTTTAGAACATTCAGTCGATGATATATAGAACATGTTTAGAGAGTTAAAGATTATATAGCAAGGAAACATTCAACAAATAAATACTTGATTCTTTTTTTCATCCATTTTTGGGGTATTCAGTTGTTATCACTCTATTCCTGCCAAATCTACTTTTTTTTTTTCTTTTTTGAGAGGTTTTTGCTATAGGGTGAGTGTGCTCGCCAGAAAGAGAGAGAGAGACAGAGAGACAGAAAGCGAGAAATCACCCCCCAGAGGGGATGGCCATGCTGCAGTCCCTTCTAAAATTTAGAATATTGAGCTTGAGTATTTATTATATTTCATCTCAAAGGGCTATAGTATTTTTTGTTTTGTTGTATATTTTGGTATTTTGCTATAGGGCATGTGCACTCATCAGACTAAGACAGACAGAGAGAGAGAAAGAGAGTTTGAAATCCCCTGGGAGGATGGCCACACTTCAGTCCTCTCTCCTCTATTCTCCTCTTGGGATTTTGGGTACCTATGCACACATGAGCCTAGCGTGTTTTTCAAGCCACCAGGTCCAGGACTTGAACCACACAGCCAGCCATGTGGGATCCAGCACACTACCTACCGTGCCACCTGCAGATCCCTCAAAATGCTAGATTTTTTTTTAAACTATTTATTCATTCATTTATTTTAATTTCAGAGAGAGAGAGAGACACACATACACAGAGAGGGAAAGTAAGAAAGCAAGCCACCAGGTCTAGGAATCTAACCGTTGTCAGTCATGTGGGAGTGTCCAGCACTTTAACCAGCACGCCACCTGCTGGTCCCCAAAATGCTAGAATTTTTAACTGTATTTTTGATGTCTGTTGTTGCTAGGACTTAATAAATGCTATTATGTTAATATTTAGCATAGTAATTTTAGTATTCATATTAAATATTTAAAGGACTCACCCAAGTATAAGTGCTTGTACTTTGGAAAAAATGCATTTATTCTTTCGGGGTATTAGTGATTATGCTCTGTAATACTCTCATTTTCCAAGTGTAAGATTTCATAATAGGAGTCGCTCAGAGTATATCTAAATATAAATAGTCTATCAGGCAAGAGTACTGTGACTGATTTTTGGTGACAGTTCAGCACTTTGATTTGATATTTGTATACACATTTGTTGAATATACCGTAATGATTGTGGTCTTTTACTTTTATTTCCAGAGGGCACATGCACTCACCTTATAGAGACAGTAAGGTAGATAAAGCACTTCCTGATGGGGCCTAGCCATGGCGCAGTCCCTTTCCTCCACCTCTCCATCCCGTCAGGATTTTAAGCACACAGATATACTTGGTGTGTTTTTCAAGCTGCCAGGGCTGGGACTCGAACTGCAGAGGGCCATATGGGGTCTAGCTTCCTACATACAAGGCTTAACCACTGAGCAGCAGGGCTGGCCTGTAGTCTGTTGCTTTGACTTTATATAGTTAAGAAATTCCATATTTTAAAAGTAAACTTCAGAAGTCATTCTAGGTTGCACAGATGAACAGTGTCACCTACTTCCATAGCTAATACTCTTTCTTTTTGCAGGTCAATTTTTCTGTGGAAATAAGTGTTGTGATGAAAAAGAAGGCTTAAAAAGTTGGGAAGTTAATTTTGGTTATATTGAGCATGGCGAAAAGAGAAATGCACTTGTTAAATTAAGTAAGTTAACTTTAGGGGGAATAACGATTTCTTCCAACGTGGTCTTTAGAATTAGAAACATATGGATTATTTAAAATTCAATTAAAATTTTTAACATGTTTATTTGGAAGTGCTTTTTTCTCAGAGCATCACAAAATCTCAAATAACTTTTGAACCTAAAATGTTTGTATTGGCATTCCAGTACTGTTTCAGTAAGTCTAATCACAGATGTAAACTAGTATTTGGGTAGTGAAGATCTTTTCTCTTTAACTTGGGAATGTCAGCAGGTTACATAGCTAAGAGGCAGAGTATCAGGAAGACGATGTAAATCTCACATTAGCTGAGTATTTAGCTAGATTGTGTATGGCTAAAAAAATAGCTCTCCCTGGGACCAGCAGTTAGCGTAATAGCTATGTCACTGGACTCCCATGTAGTCGACCGTGGTTTGCATCCCGGACCTGGTGGTTTAAAACTCACGCCAGGTGCGTGTGCATGCATGCCCAAGATCCCGCCCAAGAGGAGAACTGAGGACAATGGATTGCGGTGTGGCCATCCCCCCTGGGGTGTGATTTCTCACTTTCTGTCTCTCTGTCTCTCTCTGTCTGTCTGGCGAGCACACACACCCTATAGGAAAAACCTCTCCAAAAAAAAGAAAAAAAAATAGTTCTCCTTGACAGTGTTAATAGGGAAAAATTTTAAGAGAGCATAATTATTATTGATATCAGTCTCAAAAATGTAGGTTATACTCCAGAAAACACAGCAGTTTCCCTTCACGTGTGTGTTTTAGAACCCGTCCTTTTATTTATTTATTTATTTTTTAGAGCTGATCTTCAGGCATCAGCTGCTCTTCTCCCTCCGCTGTGTCAATGGCCCTTAGCCTTCTCTGGGTCCTAAGTGAATGGGCCTTCGGAGTTTTCCACCCACTCCTGGTAGAAGCCAGCAGTTTCCCCAGACAGCACTCGGGCTGCTCAGTACAGCCCAGCTTCTGAGTTCCTTCTGGAAGAGCTGGTGAGGAAAAGTCGCCAGTGTGGACGGGGATTAAGGCAAAACAGGAGGCCTCAGTTATGAACTATTTGAAAAGCTTTTTTCCGTTTGAACAGTATTAGAGCACTTGAGAAGAACAACTGTACTCATGCTCTTTTTGTCGGATATCTTTGATGTGAGTTACACAGTTATACTGCCTATGGAACACTGTTTATTTTAAAAAGTAAATGTACAACGTTTTTCTAAAGTGAGGTTAGAGTATTTTCAATTCTTCAAGTGTTCTGTTAATAATATATTTTTTTGTTTTTGTTTTGTTTTGAGAGATTTTTGTTGTAGGGCATCTGCACTTGCCAAAGAGAGAGACAGAGAAAGAAAGTGAGAGATCACGCTCCGGGGTGATCACCGTACTGCAGTCCCTTCTGCTCCATTCTCCTCTGGGATTTTGGGCACACACACAAGCACCCGGCCTGAGTTTCAATCCACTAGGTCTGCGACTTGAACATGGTCGACCACGTGAGAGATCATTGCCTTAACCCCTATATTACCTGCTGGCCCCTCTAATGCCATTTTTTTTTGGGGGGGGGAGTTTTTTTCTATATGGCGTGTGCGCTCACCAGACAGAGAGAGAGAGAGAGAGAGACAGAAAGCGAGAAATCACCCCCCAGGGGGGATGGCCACGCTGCAATCCCTTCTCCTCCATTCTCCTCTTGGGATCTTGGGCATGCACACACATGCACCCAGCGTGAATTTCAAGCCACCAGGTCCGGGACTTGAACCACGGTCGACTACATGGGAGTCCAGCAACATAGCCATTACACTAACTGCTGGTCCCTAATATCATTATTATACGTACACACACACACACACACACACACACACACACATACACACATGCATACATGTATTTCTTGAAGTGGTGAGCTTTGAACTGTTTTCTTCAGATTGTCTTCCCTCTTATAGTAAAAGAATGTAAAGCAGATGAGAATTTATGGTATTTAGAGTAATAGTGCAGTTATTCAAATTCAGCAATTCAGTGATTCTTTCTTGTTTTTTAGGGTTATGCCAAGAATGTTCCTTTAAATTGAATTTTCATCACAGGTAATAGTGCTCTCTAAAATGGCGTTCTTTAAGTTTATTAATCTTGGACATAGTCACTTACCTACACGGAGCGTTTGGATGTAGACTTGGATTGTTGATGACTGAATTTGCTGACTGTGTAGAACACCCAGCTTTAGTGTATGACCACATAGACTTAGAGGGTGGAGGTTCTCTGAACCCTTTTCTAGCTCAGCAGCTGTCAGTGTGGAAGCCCATGCGGGTCAGTAGATGGATGTTAGCATTTTTAGATTGGAGCTCAGTCTTCAGATACCATAATAGTCTCAAAAACTATCTTGTGGGGCCAGCAAGTCCCTGACTTAACTTTTTTTAAAAATAATTATTTTTCTTTCCCTCCCTCCCTCCCTTCCTTCCTTTCTTTCTTTCCCTTTCTTTTGTTCTTCCTCTCTCTCTCTTTCTTTCTTTCTCTCTCTCTTTCTCTTTCTTCCCCTCTCTCTTTCTCTTTTTCTTTCTCTC